TCAGCTTTCTGATGTGGATCCTATTTCCAGGTGAGGAGGTAACTAGACAGGTCTCTTGGAGACATGGCAAACAGAGTATTAATAGTTATTGTGGATTATAGGAAAGTTAGGTCTGTGGAAGACAACCTCTATGTTGACAGATGAGAGAGAATCAATGGAGGGAGGCCGCTAAATGCGATAAAGAAGTTCTTTGAGAATACAGTATGTTATCTTTTCTGTTTGGGATGCCAATACCTCGTTTTGATTTGCTGTAGGGCATTTGCAGGTCCCACTCTAGGAGGATTTCTAAATGAAAAGCTCGGTTTTGAATGGGCCTCAGCCATCCAAGGAGGATGGGCACTGTTAAGTGTAAGTAATTTCACATTTTTTGCTTTTTGTATCTATTGCAATTATGAGCTGTTGTATAAGGTTGTTATTATTCTTACAATTGTAACTGACTGTTTTCCTCAAAGGGTCTTGCAACTGGAATATTCTATATCACTGAGGCAACAAAGAGAAGGTATGCTGAGATATTTATTCTTCATTTTACTTGCAGCCATGTAAAACAAACCTTTGAAAGGTGTGCTTCTATTTTTTCCTCACTACCAACCTGATAATGAATGACAAGATAAGCAGTAAAAGTACTGCTTAAGTACTTTGTCTCTATGCTTTCCTAAATTCATACTGACTTAAACAAAGACCTAAACTAGGCAATGCTAGTTCTATACAAGCAACAGGACTGTGGTATTAACAAACAAACCCTACTGATGGTTCCTCCACAAGCATGTCTGAGCTGGAATTGACTGGATAGTTTCATTCAGGGAGTAGTGGCCAATGCTTCAACGTCTGGATGGAGGTCAGTGATGGGTAGTGTCCCTCAGGGGTCCATAATGGGACCAGTGCTGTTTAACATCTTCACCAGTGACACAGACTGTACGATTGAGCTCACCCGCAAAGAATTTACAGATGGAGCTGTTGGAGCAAGTCCAGAGGAGGGCCACAAGGATGATAAGAGAGCTGGAGCACCTCCTGCATGAAGACAGGCTGAGAAAGTTGTGGCTGTTCAGCCTGGAGACCTCATAGCAGCATTCCAGCATACGAAGGGGGCCCACAAGGGTGCTGGAGAGGGACTCTTCATTAGGGACTGTAGTGGTAGGACGAGAGGTAACAGGTTCGAACTTAAACAGGGGAAGATCAGATTAGATATAAGGAAGAAGCTCTTTACTGTGAGGGTGGTGAGGCACTGGAACAGGTTGCCCAAAGAAGTGGTAAATGTTCCATCCCTGGCAGGGTTCTAGGCCAAGTTGGACAGAACCTTAGGCAACATGGTCTAATGTGAGGTGTCCCTGCCAATGGCAGGGGGTTTGAAACTAGATGATCTTATGGTCCTTTTCAACCCAAACCATTCTATGATTCTATGACACCAAACTGACTGGTGTGGTTGTCATGCCTGAGGGATGGCATGCCATTCAGAGGGATCTGGACAAGCTTGAGAAGTGGGCTCATGTGAACCTCATGAGGTTCAACAAGGCCAAGTGCATGGTCCTACACCTGAGCTGGGGAGACCCTTGGTATAAATACAGGCTGGGGACTGAAGGGATTGAGAGCAGCCTTGCCAAGAAGGCACTGGGGGTACTGGTGAATGAAGAGCTGGAACTGAGCCAGCATTGTGCCCTCACAGCCCAGAAATCCTGAATACCGCCTGAATATCCTGCACCAAAAGGACCATGACCAGCAGAGCAAGGGAGGTGATTCCCCCTCTCTGCTCAGCTCTCATGAAACCCCACCTGGAGTACTGCATTCAGCTCTGGGGCACCCAGCATAGGAAGGACATGGAGCTGTTGGAGCAAGTCCAGAGGATGCCATGAAGATGATCAGGGGGCTGGAGCACCTCCCGTATGAACAGGCTGAAAGAGTTTTGATTACCCAGCCTAGAGAAAAGAAGGCTCTGGGGAGACCTTATAGCAGCCTTTCAGTACTTAAGGGGGACTTACAAGAAAGATAGGGACAGACTTTTCAGCAGGGCCTTTTGTGATAGGACACTGGGTAATGGTTTTAATCTAAAAGAGGGGAGATACAGGCTGGATGTGAGGAAATAAAAATTTTACAATAAGGGTGGTGAGGCACTGGCACAGGTTGCCCAGAGAAGCTGTGGATGCTCCATTCCTGGAAATGTTTAGGGTCAGGTTGAACGGGGCTCTGAGCAACCTGATCTAGTTGGAGACATCCCTGCAGACAGGGGGGTTGGACTGGGTGACCTTTAACCATCCCTTTCCAACCCAAACCATTCTGTGATTCTGTGAAGTGATAGGTGTGAAAGCAATAGTACGTACTTTGTGCAATAGTAGGGAGCCAAATCCAGTGATCCACATAGCTCTTTCCATGTAATGTGTGGCTTTTTGCTATAATGTTGGTATTGCACTGAAGTATTTAGAGAATACTAAACCTGTTTCTTTGCTCCTGTTGTTTTCCTTGTGCAAACAGTTCCAGTTCCAGCCTGCAAAATCCTCCTGGTACTAATGAAGAAAGAACTCATCTGATGAGCAGTGAATCATAGCCAGACATACTTTCAATTCTCAGTTTACTATTGTGGTTTAACCTATTATTGAGATGAGTGGACTTAACAGTGTTTCATTATTCTGGACCTGGGATACATGATCCCTTGGTGAATGACCAGTTGTGGTTTAGTTGTAGCTGCATTACTATTTTGAAACACTAAACACTGACTGTCTTTCTTTTGGAAGTCTTCACGTGGATTGGCTGAAGTGATGAGTAACCCTCAGATGTCAGCCTGTTTAATTGTGTTCCATGTACAGTGCAGCACTGTATGTGAAAGAAGTGTGTTTTCAACGCTTGAGCCTGCTGTGCATTATTCTTGGGTAAAGCTACTATTTTGCTACTGTGATTTTCTGTATTTTTTTAAAGAATGTTCATTATCTTGTAATACTTCAACTGATAATGTTGAAACAGAATTTGAAACGACAAAGCATTAAGCACAATATTTTTTTTTTTTCAATAAAGCAACTTTTTTTCCTAAGTTTTGCAAATTTTCTCGGACAGCAGAGCCTAAAAGACTTTCTATCTATCAACATTTGTATTATCCTGAAAGTGCCTGAAAATGGGAGGCAAAGGTAATGAAGAGAAGAGTTAGAATCTCTACACAGAACTAATTGATCTTAAGTCCTGGAGGAGACTTGGCATCATGTGTATACATATACGCAGAGATATATGTATATTTGTGTTATGTTTGAAGACTCGGCTTGATGTTTGTGAGATCTATTTTTACTAATAAATGCCAGCTGAAATGTTTGTACTAATTGCCTCTGCAACAGTAGATCTATCAAAAGTCTAGAGCTACTATTTTCCAACAGTGAGGAAAAAGAGTATTTCCTCACTTCCTCTGGGTGCTTGGCAGAACAGATCAAGGAGACGTGAGGCAAGGGCATACCTGGCAAATTCACACTAGACCACTTACTGTTGTGGGAAGCGTCATTTAACTTGTTCTTGAGCCCACAGCTCGATTTTAGAAGGAGTTCTCTGTGCTACCTGATTTTCCATTAATAATAAAAAATGGTCTAGCCCTAGCAATTTACAATCAGTATCTCTTGTGAGTAGCTACTGGATTTACATGACAAATACTTCTTTGTCTGCCACAGCCCTTCCTGGGGCAAGCAAGAACTGCTCTGGTAGCCAGCTGAACTGTGAAGCGTCAGGGTACCAAACGGCAGGCTTCCCCTAGAAACATCCTGGCAATAGATCCTGTCCTTTTGTAACGTGTTAGACTTTACTAAAACCTCAACCTATGATGAGGTGCTGACCCTGCCAGTGCCAATGGTGAGGCAGGTGAGAAGGAGCTGAGAGAACTGGAGGTAAGCACAAGGTGCAGAAGTTGCAAACCTGTAGACATGACTTAATTGTTCTCTTTGTGAAATGACTTGTTCGCTTACTTGATCTGTGCTGTTTGAACTTGAGTTGTCTGGGATTACCAGAAAGAGCACGAATGCCATTGAAATTTAATGAGCTGTCCTGCAATGCATGAACTGGACTAGACCTCCAGTAGAAACTAGACAGGCTTAACTAACCCCTCTAGCTTTCTGACAACACATCTTCTCCCCTCTTCTTTCTTTCATGTACACAGTGGAGGCAAAAGAAAACTGACAAGGAATCCTGTGTTCTAGTTTGTTGTTCAGACTAACCCACAAGCATGTTCTCCTGCTGTGATTATCCAGGGATCCTGGAACTATAGTTAGAGCAGTGGGATCTCCTGTGGGAAACTCAACAACCCCCTGGCTGGTGCTGTGCTTGTCTCATGCAGTGGCAGGTCTAAATACCCATCTGCTGTTATTGACGCAGTTGTACTGTCTGTGGAGCTGTGATAAGTAGAGACTGTGCCAGGTACATACAAACTACACTTGGCTAGATCAGAGCACCCCTGAGCTGGGACCAGCACAGGCAGTGACGGTGCGGCAGCACCGAGCTTGGGGCCAGCCACCTGCCTCCCACAGCCCTGCCTGCAGCCCCCCTGTGCCCTCCGGGAATGTGGCAATGCTGGTCTTCACTGAGATTTCCCAGGCTCTGGCTTGTTGTGACCTGGGCTTGCCTTGAGCTGCATTACTACAGCAATGCCACACCTGCATCATTCGCAGATCTGGCAAGCGATGCGTTTCTTTGGCTGCAGCACAGTGGTGACTTCTCTGCTGGTGGAGCAAGGCAGGATTGCTCAGGGCTGTGGGTCTCTTGGCTTTGATGTGTGAGGCTTTCTGGGCAGGGTGAAGGCATCTCCTGGTGTCGGCTTTCTGCTGCTCCCGGGAATTCCCAGGTTTCTGCAAGAATTTCCTTTTAAGTCCCCTGACTTTGCTTTGTCCCCGTCCTCCTCCTGAGCGACTTCCAGGCTCCAGACATGGGGCTCCCTAAAGCTCATACCTGTGCTGTGCTTTTGGTGCTGTCTGCTCTGCAGGCCTGTGCCCTGGACAGCTACATTGCAGCTGTCTATGAGCACAGTGTGGTGCTGTCAGAGGACACTGAAGTGCCAGTTTCTCCTGAGGAGGCCTTGATGCTGATGGACAAAAATCTGGCGATTTTGGAAGTGGCCATAAAAGAAGCAGCCAAACAGGTATTATGGCTCATTACAGACAGTAATTTTGGTAAACACTGACTGTTTATTCATTTTCTTAATGGTGTTTTTTGGGTTTGTGTGTTGGCATCAGGGTGCCCATATCATTGTAACACCTGAAGATGGCATTTATGGCTGGGTCTTCACAAGAGAAACAGTCTACCCTTATCTTGAGGATATCCCAGACCCACAAGTGGACTGGATTCCCTGTGCTGATCCTCAAAGGTATTGCTCCTGCTGTGCGTGGGGGAATGATCCCATGAGAAAGAAGGCTGCCTTTAGGAGTGGTTGTTGAGAGTTTTATATATCTTGGAAGAACTGCTATGAAATGAATCCAGGTTAGGCATCCTGTAGTTGCAATAAATAACTTCACACAGCTTCCTTCCTCATTTTTATCTTTTTTTCTCACTGTATTTATTTTAGTTAGCATACTCAGAAAGGTTGAGATTTATTTAAAACAAACCCCAAAAACTTACAGAATCTACGTTTCAGTAATGTATCCCATGCACGTTGTAGAAAATGTCTTAAGATACAGGAATATTAGGAGTATTTGTAAATAAAATAGCAGCTACTACTGAAAAGATATACCACACTATTTCAAATTTGCATTTTTTAATCATGATTTGGTAGGCTTTTTATTCTGTCATTTTCCTTAATAAATGGCACCATTTTTTGAAACTTCAGTGTTTGGTAAAAGTTTGGTAAGACAAAATGCACCATAGAAGAAACAAATCCTATGCTCCCTCTGCACAGCAGCCAAATTGAGAACTGAAATAGAATGGCTGAGATTAACTCCTGTGTTGATGTAACGTCAATGCTGTGCCACACATCAGCAGCAGGAGGGAGACTTCAAGGTGCAAGGAAACCCCTGTGCTCCTCAGTTAATGTGAAGCCAGAGTCTGAACACACTGAGCTTTGAAGCACAAAACCGCTGCCTTCTGTTGAGTAACAGAAAATAAGAGTTTCTTATTAGATATGACTAACTTAAACCTATAATTCATGTGATCTGTAGTCTCAGTGTTCGTATTTTTATAGATTAACTGGTTTTGATGTTTTATTTCCTTTCTTCCTTCCCTGCTGTTTAGGTTTGCTCCCTCACCTGTGCTAGAAAGACTGAGCTGTCTGGCAAGGAATAACTCCATCTATGTGGTTGCGAATATGGGAGACAAGAAGCCATGTAATTCCAGTGATCCAAGGTGCCCAAATGATGGTCACTATCAGTACAATACCAATGTTGTCTTTGACTCAGAAGGGAAACTGGTGGCTCGCTATCACAAGGTAAGAGGATTTTACAATATTCAGGAAGTACATCATCCTGCAGTGATGAAAGATGTGAAATAGAAGCTCCTTCCCAGGCTTAAATGTATTTGTACAAAGAGTCATTATAGAGCAGGTGTCAGAGGGCAGGTGAAAGCCACTGCCTTAAGATATTTTCATTCCTGCTATTCTGAATTTACTAGCAAATAATTAAATGGAATTAATTAAAACTCAATGAGCCCTCTATTTTTACTGCTTCTTAGAAGGAAGTGATACATGAGATATTCAAACATTAATGTCCTAAACGCTTGCAAACTAAATACAAATCCCCTTCACTGGTATAGATCAGAACCATGGATATTTGTGCTTGACTTCTCTTGCAGTGATATGAAGTGTACTCTAAGAAATTAAGATATAGCATGTTCACAAACATATTCTCCATTACTTGTATTTAAGTGAATGAGTATTATATTCAATATTAGTGTGATTTAAGTCGTTTGATTTCTTTTCTAACTTATTTTTGTCTCCATTCCTTCCTTTCCATGAACAGTACAACCTTTTTGTGACAGAGAAACAGTTTAATTACCCTAAGGATCCAGAATTTGTGACTTTCAATACATCCTTTGGCTACTTTGGCATTTTCACTTGTGCAGACATACTCTACCACGACCCAGCTGTGGTCTTGGCAAGGAGATTTCAGGTTGACACCATTTTGTTCCCAACTGCTTGGGTTAACACTCTTCCACTGTTGTCAGCGGCCCAGTTTCACTCAGCCTGGGCGATGGGAATGGGTGTCAATTTTCTTTCAGCAAATTTGCACAACTCCACTTTAGATATGACAGGTAATGTGATATTGTTCTAACTGATCTTGTTGATGTGGGTAACATTTATATGCATGTATTGAGTTGGCCTGAGCGGAAGTTCCCATCAGCTTTAGGCATGCATACGCCTATCAACAGACTTAGGACAAGAAAACCTGTACATATAAAAAAGAAATCAAAACGTGATATGTAAGAACTTGGAAATGCTTAACTTGACTAGAACACCTTTAGTTATTTGTTAAATGAGTTTATGTGTGTGATTCTTCATCTTCTGGCCCTGGCGTTTATCGATGAGCTCATGTGAAGGCCCAAACTTTTTTTGTCCACTAGGCGGAAACCTAGCTCTGAAATGTTCTCCTGAGTCCTGCAAACACTTCTGGACTGCAGACCCTGCCTCAAGTTTTCTTTGCAGGCTCGGTTTTCACTGTATGTTTTTCCTGAGCAGATGCTAGAAGTCAAGCACAAGTTGTGCGGGCATGTGCTTGCAGAAGTGAGAGAAACTTACTGGTGTTGCTAAACCGTAGCCCTAAACTTTGCTTTCCAAATAAGAGCAGATGTGGGCCGTTCCTTTAGTTCTGTCATTGATGACCCCATGTCATACAACTCATATGCTTTATGGACAGCTTTTACTCAGGAGTAAATATTTATGTATTTATGTAAAGAGCTTGCATAAAGATGTGACTTTGGTAATATCTTTTCCTTACTGATTTTTTTTGACTTGACGATGTTACCATTCATTTTAGTCAGAAATACTGATTTCTAATGCAGCTAAACTCAGTGAGGAACATGTAGCTTCATCCACTTAAATTATATATAATGGCAGATAATTAACACACTAATCTTGTCACTTACAATACATGAAACGTCAGAGTTTGGTCTGCTTTCTACTGATTGGAAAAAGCATTGGGTTAGGATTGTGGTCTGTGAAGGCTTAACTTAGTTTCAAAACAAACAGTAAATATTAGAATAAAATTTGGCACATATTTAGTTAGGGAATAATGCTTACTTGTCTCATACTCTTCCTTTCAGATTAAAAGCTTTCTGGTGTTCTGTTTGCAGGGAGTGGTATTTATGCCCCAGATGGTCCAAAAGCATATTATTACAATACAGAAATGGAAAATGGTCACCTTTTGGTGACAGAACTGAATTCACACCCACGTGTCTCTCCTGACTATCCCGCTGCTGTTAACTGGAAACTGTATGCCAGCAGGATCGAACAGCTTCCATCAAACCACCACTATTTCAGTGGGACTGTTTACCATGATCTCTTCTCCTTCACGGAACTCACTGAACCTGAGGGAAATTGTGCCATTTGCCATCAGGACCTCTGTTGCCATCTGAGTTACAAGATGGTAGAGAAGCAGAAAGATGACATTTATGTTCTGGGTGCCTTTGATGGGCTACATGTTGTTGAAGGAGAGTATTATTTACAGGTAAATGGGTTTTTGTTCTTGTTTGGACAGTGGGAAGGCTGCAGTATTCTCTTTGCATACCGTTAGCATTTCTCTTATTTTTGATTGAGGGGGGTGAAGAAGAGGTGCTTTTTTGGCCCCTTTGAAAACATCTGTTTTTTTTCATGAGGCATTTTGACTTCATTAAGAGTCTTGACCCTGCTTTTCTGTCTGTGTTATAAATGATGAAAGTGAAGGCCCTGAGCTGACCCTATACTTTAGCACTTAAAGGGTGACAGGTCACCCAGCAGTTTTGGCAAGGGCAGACCAAGATAGATACATAAGTTTCTCTGTGCTGATTATATTTTCTAGAATATGTCTTGCATAAGTTGGTCTTCAAGTTTTGCAGGTTGTAGGTTTGGCAGGCTCTATTGCTGAGGGGAGACCTTATCACTCTCTACAACTACCTGAAAGGAGGTTGTAGCGAGGTGGGGGTTGGTTTCTTCTCCTAAGTAACAAGCAACAGGACAAGAGGAAATGGCCTCTTGTTGCACCAGAGGAGATTTAGATTGAAGATTAGAAAAATTTCTTCACCAAAAGGATTGTCAGGCATGTAAGAGGCTGCCCAGGGAAGTAATGAAGTCACCATCCTTGTAGGTATTTAAAAGATATGTAGCTGTGGTGCTTAGGGACATGGTTTAGTGGTGGACAGGTTAACAGCTTGACTCAATGGTCTTAAAGGTGTTTTCCAACCTAAACAATTCTATGGTTCTGTGATCCTAAGGAGGTTTCCATGTATGTGTACAAAAGGGAGAGAAGACTGTAGAGTTTTCCCTGTCTTCACAGGAATGCTTTTGTCACAAGAAAGCTGTTTTCTGCTCAGTGGTTTTTACTATTGTGCTGATGTGATTTTCTAACATGTAGCTGTCTAACAAAATGAAGAAACTAAATATGGGTATAATATTTGCATTCATATGGCTTGTCAGTGTATTGATTCTTTTCAGTTTTGCTGTTAGTTTTTTTCTCTGTATCTTTGGAGTATTGCCATTAGAGTAGGCAAGTAAGTATGCCTTCAGTTTTTTAGGAGACCCAGACAGAGCTGAAGTAACTTCCTTAGGTCACAAATTATTCCAAGCCTATGACTAAATCCATTATGCATTATGCATGAGTGCAGACAGAACTTACAAACATACGTGGATACACACAGACACTGCTCTGCTGCCGTGCTGGCAAAGAACTGCCTTTTTACAAGTTTAAAGTGCCACCCTCCTCTTGGTGTAAATAAATTAATAGATGTATTGGATCATTTCTTCATCATGGCAGATTTTCTTATAATCAAATCCAGCTCTTGATTGTTGAGAGCTTAGTGGTATTTTGCCTTTCTGTATCTTCCTCCCTGCAGATATGCACTCTGCTCAAGTGCAAGAGCACAGATCCAGAAACATGCGGGCAGCCGGTGGAGACGGCTCAGACCAGGTTTGAGATGTTCTCCCTCAGTGGCACGTTTGGCACCAACTATGTCTTTCCAGAAGTCTTGTACAGCAGGGTGCAGCTGGCGCCCGGGGAGTTCAAGGTAATGGGACATCCTTGTGAGTTGTCTGACGTGTAACACAAATGGTCAAAAAGCCACTATAAGACACAGGAGCAACTTGGTAGTTATCAGTGTCCTATATTTCAGTAACTGGCTGGAGTTCAAGGCAGCTTTACTTCTGCCTAATTTTCTTGGTTGCATCAATGCAGCAGGGTCATTTTACCAATTCCCTTCTTCCTTGTCCCCTCAAGTCCTCTAGAACAAAATCTTGCTCAAGACAGAACCATAGTTTTTCTCATACTTCATGGTAGCTCCAAGTGAGCTACTTCATCTCTCAACTAGGTCAACATTCATGAATGTATTATTTTGTAATTGTCATACAACAGTGTTAGTTTGCTAATGTTCCTGTTTATTTCACTTTTCCACAACTAGGTGCTAACTGGTGGACGTCTGATAAGTCGAACTAGTACACCAAAGCCAGTTTTGAGTGTAACACTCTTTGGGAGGTGGTATGAAAAGGACCCTCCACACACAGAGCAAGCTTCACCATGATTTCACTGCAGATCTTTTAAGATCTCATCTGCTTGTTTCTGTAACACTAATTAATCATAATAAATCATAATGTCAATTGATGTTAATTAATGTTAATACAGGTAATTGTAATGACATTCTGTTTATCATGTTACCTTATCTAACAGCATAGTCATTGCACATTGATTTGTTGACTTGATTTTGCAGCAAAAATAAATCACTGCTGGGCAGTTCTCTATGTGTTTTTATACAGTAGTTTAGGTTGTCATAGACTTCATGTTGACACTGGGGACAATAGAAAGTAAATTCCTCTGACTTTAGTAATGTAGGATTCAGGTATATAAGAGAGGGAAGTGGCTCAATAGCAACCAACTTTTAATTCTTTGAAATTTTTGGTGGAGTATTGGTCAAGAGTGCAGGCAAGTGTTGGGAAAGGCTGATGAACAGCTTACACACATTGAACACACTCACACGTGTGCGGGTGCAGGTCCTGCAGACGGTACTTCCTAGGCAAGTGGACTGGATTACTTTGCATGGCGCAACTAAGATTGCTTTGTATGGCTAATTCTGTTGTCTGTCCTGCAGGTTTATTCAGAAATAAAAACATTGTTCACATTTAATCTGACCAGCGACATAGAAAAATAGACTTGCAGGATGCAAGATACAGTATTTCTGAATAAAGTCAACGTTGTAAAAACAAGATTTTAGTCTGTAAATGTATTAAATTGTAACTCTTCACAATTAATATGGTAGAAATAATGGAAAACACTCTGCTTGCTTGTGAAGAAAAAATACTGTAGCTTTGCATTTCTATCTGCACCATGGGACATGGTGTCCTCTTACAGCTAAGCAACATTAACTATGTGCTCTGGCTAAAAATGAGTAGCTGTTGGTTTCCTCAATCCTGCTGCACATGTCCTCATGGTTTTGTAGGGATTGAGTGGTTGCAAGTGTGACCCTTAACAGAGACTTCTCCACAGCAGGATTAACCCTTTGAATAAGGAGTTGTCTTCCACACAGTCTCTCTTAGCACAAGAAAAGGGGAGGACCACAATCGGAAGACAGACTACCTCTACAGCTAAGATGATTTAGCAACAACTTGCATCCTGTTTCACAAAAGTAAGTGCTCAGATAGCCACCATCCTCAGG